GGGGGGGGGTTACAAGATGAAAGGCACTACATAGGAAGTAAAGTAAAATTTTCAAACCATGTACAACACATTTAGAGGTTAAGGATACCTTAGCAAGAAACCAGCTATAGAGTATCCCAAATGGATTTTGATTCTTCTTCCACATATCCATCATTTCCACCATAGTTGGTACCTGGCACAATTAGGAGCGGGAGTATTAGAAATTAATCCAAAGAAGTGAACGACGACCAGCAACAGTCGTCCTATGCTTTCTGTTACCCTAATATACGGGACTATATTCCAAGGGAATTCATATTAAAAATCCCAGGATAAGAGTACCAACATATAAGAACTTAAAAAAGAAGAAGATGCTCTTTACTTTAGTGACCAGATGATAAAATTCTTCTTAGTGTCCACTGGCATTTACATAAATCATTTTTAGCTTTATTAAATTATAGTATATTTTACTGATAGATGTAGGACCTCTTAATTCTTCTAGGCAGTATATTTATTTTTTACTTTATTTACCCAAATCAGGAAATTTATCTTTTATATGAGTATGTCCCATGATCCCATCCATAAATCCTTCCGCATTCCAAACAATAAAACGAGTTTTGCAGGAAAGCTCACCCAAAGGATTCTATTTTGCCACTGATCAATTTTGTTTCCACACACCTATCCTATGGGAACATGATATTGACTTTGTGCACCATGATTATGATCCTATTTTGCATGTACCACTCTTCTCCATAACATTCTTCCTCTGTATATCACCATCGACACAACCACTTGAACAGAAGGATTTGTTGTGGGCATTTAGATTACTAATTCCAAGTTCCTGTTCATTCTTATAGTGGGGCATAACCAAATAATTAGGACATGTATAAAATGCTAAACTTGACTTATTCCACTTCTTTAACTCTCTTACACAGGGAATTACAAGAGTAGCTTTATTACTTTGATAAATGAAGTTCATTTAGTTAATAAAATACCAAAATTGTATCAAAGATACTATATTCAACTGATCAAAGAGCGTGGCCTAATGGTCAATGAAGTGGGTGAGAACCTCAGAGACCAATGTTCAAATCCTAGTAAAGACAAAAAATACTAGGTGACTTCTTCCCATCTAAGCCTTGGGGACAGAGTTACCCGTTACCTGTGCTAGTGAGAGATAGGAAGTAACCAATCGAATAGTCGAGGTACATAACCTGCCCAGACACCATCATTATACCAAAACATGTACTGCATACGACTGCCCCTAATAATTGCGCGTTATGCCTGGGCTGTGAAGGCTCTCAGCCACATGGATAGTTCAAATGTATTAATCGACACCTAACCCTGAGATTTGGACCACCCAAGACACAATGGCGTACTCCTCCAGTTCGAACGGGGGTTTGATTGGCTCAACCACAACAATCAAATCCATACACACCACTATCCTCTCTTTACACCGACTAAAAATACATGAAACAAATCCATACATACTAGTATTCTCTCTTTACACCTGAAAAAATATACATTAAATGAATAACCTATGAAAAAATGCATAAACGGTCTTCTCTTTGCTAATTCCATGCGATCTCTAACTGGGTGTCTTTGTCATCATTCTCACACAGAGGTGTATCTATAGGTATGAGTATGGGTTCACGTGAACCCATGTTCCTCTCCCTAGACCATGTATAACTATGCTATATTTTTTGTCAAAATTACTTAAATATATATATGGGTGCACTCAAGCTCAAAAAGTCCTATGGTGCAATAACTATTGGGCGCACCTTTACAAGCAGAGGCGGATCTAGGATTTGAAGGTGGCAGGTGCCATAATTTCCTTTAATATATATCATGTAACGACTAATACAGAATTTATTAGGAATATTTATACGGATTTTTTGAGTGTATTTGGGTCAACCTAATAGGTATTTTTATTCGCAAATATAAAAATTACATCTCAGATATCAAAATTAGTATTTTAAATAAGGAATAACACCTTTATTTTAACAACACAAGTAAAATCAATATTTTCACTAGGAAATTACATCTTTTTCTGTATACTAAAAATAAATTTACACAAGTAAGATAACATCTTCAATAAGAGAATTATATCGATCAGAATAAGAAATATTTTTTAAAAAATATCTTCAATAGGTAAATTATACCCCATAAGTATAAAATTAAATAAACTATAAGTTCCCAAAAATCAAAACCATAAATCTCATATTTTTAAGTAATGTTTACGAAATTTTCATTGTAATTTAAGAGTAAAGAGATTTAAATTATATTTAAAAACCATATAATAACACAATTTTTTATGATATAATAAAAAAATGGAAAAAAATTGATCTCAATCCAAAATTTCCATTAAGACCCAAGTTTTTCAAATTTGAAAGAAGAAAACTCATAAATTTAAGATTAAGAGGAATGTTTATTTTATATATTTTAAAAGTTTTGGAGTCTCTTTTTTGAGTATTCTTGCTAGAGACCATATATAAAATAATAGAATAGAGAAAAAAATATAAAAAATAATAAACGACAAATAGAAAATTAGGAGAGGCAGCCGAAAAGGGAAATAACTGGGACAAAAGGAAATAAAAAGCACAACAAAAAGGAGAAGTCGGACAAGGTTCAAGATAAATTCCAACTTGAATTTTACGCACGAGAAAAGCTTTCAAAAAGGGCTACCAGCCATGGTACCGTTGTCTAGTTTCAACTGCGGGTGGCAGGATCAGATATTTAACCTAGTTTAAAAATAAATTCAACATATGTGTATAAAATTTTTATCATCTCAGCGGGTGCCATGCCACCCTTCCTAAAGGGCTGGATCCGCCCCTGTTTACAAGTGAAGTCGGAAAATTAAATCCCACGTCTATCTTGTTACTTTATTCCTTTCTTTTCTAAAATTGAGCCTGAAGGTTTAAATCTCATGTATATCTTGTTCTTTTTCTTTTCTTTTTCTACCACTCATGAGGGATGGGCATGTCTTGTGTCCCCCTTTTGCGTTTTAATTAAGTACTTTTTGTTTTGTTTTTGAAAAAGAGGTACTTTTTTCTTTTTCTTTCTTTCTTTGTTTGGTTTTTTCTTTCAAAATCCCCATGCCTGACACATTGAAATCCTTGTTCTTCTTCTATCATCATCACTAAATTTTATATTTTTTAAACCGTATGTCTATACTCCCTCCGTTCCAGTTTATATGAACCTATTTCCTTTTTGGTCCGTTCCAAAAAGAATGACCCCTTTCTAAATTTAGAAACAATTTAGCTTAAACTTCCAATTCTACCCTTAATGAGAAGCTTTTATAACCACACATATACTCTGGCATGTTTACCACCACAAGTTCTAAAAAACTTATAGCCATACAAATATTCTGACTTATTTAGGACCACAAATTCCAAAAGTTTTCATTTTTTTCTTAAACTTTGTGCCCAGTCAAATAGGTTCACATAAATTGGAACGGAATATTAAATTTGGCAACAGTGATGGATGTAGCATAGAGTCAATGGGTTCAATTGATCTCAATAACTTTTATAGAATGTAAAAATTATAATTTTGAACTTATAATTTCAAAAGTGTAATGAGTTCATGAAAAAAAAAAATTCTAAAGATTAAACCTATCAAATGTAAATCCCGGATCCACCTTTTCGTAATAGTGCATTCATCCTCTTGAAATCATGGATATGCCTCTCGCATCACCTAAGCAATAACAAAAAAGGTGGTGCAAGATTCCAGGACTGTGTCGCATACTTGCAATGATTATAATAAGTCTAGAGTGTCCTCCTCCATTCCTTTAACAAACAACACCGAATCACCATAGTTCTCCTCCTCTGTCTTACACTATCATAGTTAACATTGCATTTTTACATATGCACCAATTATAGAAAGCTATTTTTCCTGGTGCTTTATTACCCCATGCTATCTTCAAACGCTCCTTCATATCCTAAATACCAATTAGCTCCTTAGAATAAAAACATACCATAAATGACTTTGCCCTTCTCCCCCTCCATGCCATCTTATCTTCCACTTCATCATTTATAGGCGCCCCATTTAACGATGTGTGAAGAAATTCCACAATCTCCTCCCATTCCCAGTATTAGTAGTGCACCGAGAAAACTCCTCTTCCGCATTCAAGGAATTTTGTATTTTGGACCTTGATTACTTTTATAACAGATTTTTTCTTTCTATTCAAAAATATGAAACAGATCCTCAATTATGACTAACTTGTAGATCTTGAAGCGCCAAAGCACAATAAAAATATAGACAACCAATGTAGGTTCCTTGCAATCAGAAAGCAAACAATTGGACTGAATTATAAAGAGAAGGCAAAAGGTACCAAAAGCACACTAACAGTCTGTATCAAACCGAAAACTAGTAAAAATTCCGAGAAGAAAAACAAATAACAGAGAAAACTTCCATACATGGTAAAAGAAACTCAAAAAATAGAAACTTCATGTTTGGCTCGGCCCAAGAGAAACTCTTACTTATCTGGAGAGGGATAAGTATATAAGTTAGAGATGGAAGTTCAACCTTTAAATTATGAGGTGTAAGTACAGCCACTCGACCCGAGCATAACTCCAAGAAAACGACCTATCATCAATAAACCAGAATCAACAAAAACTATAATATGGAAGCCTAAAAGAGGAGAAAGTTGGCAGCTAAAGTCAATACAAAGTCAAAAGAAGCACCTGCGGTTTCAGAAAATTGATCACGGCTTCGACTTCTTGGCAGGATTCCTGTGACCATGCATTGAAAACTTATGTGATTATACAACCCTCCATAAGCTCATTCTATTCTATAATTCGATGAATACAATAAATTGCCAATATGAGCCAAGTAATAATAATATGAACAAACTATTCGAGAAATATAAGTTGATCGATATTAGTTCAAAATTACTAACTTCTGAGAATTCTTTTCTCAAGAAGAAATTCGCATAAATACAATAAATTAAATTCAAGCTTCAAGATAACTTTCTCTTACTCAAACATAGGGAAGAAAAACGCGAAATTTACCGCAGAAACGTGAGCTGTGCCAACAACATACACATCGCAAATGCCTCCATCGGCAGAAGATTCACAAGTGAGTGTCATTACATTCCTCGAAAGTTCCTCCGGCAAAACCCTCCTTTCGTATGGTTGACTTTGACCTTCACCTTCTTCATTCACCGAAGAAACCTCATCAACCCCTCGTTCTTCCACTACGCTCTCATCAGAACCTTCTGAATTTGTAGAATTAACAATTTCTCCATCGACTCGAACAAAATCCTCGAATCCGGACGCCGCAAGCCGATCCGAATCCATTCCCGCCGGCGTAAAGCGGCCGGGTACGGCAGAGAAAGTTTTGGAATTTGAGGCAATTGATAAGGATTTGTGGCCGGGGTTTGTGACGGAGAATGGAGCGGCGAGATATTTGACGGTTGAAAAGCGAAGGCGGGAATCGCCGATGAATGAGTAGAATCGTTGTGACTCGGACGAGTTGAGATAGGTGAGTGTATAACGAGTCAATCGATGCATATGGAGGTTTTTTAGTTGCGTAGCTAAAATGAAATTAACCGTCGATGGGATCTTATTGTGCCTTACTTGTACCGTTGTACGATTGGATTTTCACGACACGTGGCAACCGATTCTGATTGGATCATGTGCTCTCATACCTTACCAGAGTCTCAAGTTTTCTTTTGAATCGAAAATTAAAGAAAGTTTTCTTTAGGAAAAAAAAAAAAGTTAAGGTCAAAATATTGGCCGTGAGTCGGTACGAAATTTAAGAAAAAAAAAATAGTTTTGAAACTGTGGTCTTAAACGCTTAACAATAAAAATTTTATGATATCATGATATTTTTTGAGTTATAAAAGTGTAAAACGGATAAAATAAAAAATTTAAATTTGAATTATTAGGAAATCCCTGCTTGCCGACAGAGGGCAGCTTGGTCTTTTTACAATTCTATGCTAGGTAGAATTTCTGTTATGCCCCTATGTCTACTCTTTTGTGTTGTTCGGTGAAGTTCTAAATAGGTAATTTCCGCTCCATCTCTTACGGCAACCTCTTAATAATTTGCTTTTCTCGCTCTTCGCTTGTCTAGAATTACCTTGGCTTCTCCTTCTTCATCGTTTAAACTCTGTGTCTACAACTGAAAATATAAAGTGATACTTAAATTAGGGTTTCTACTGCTTCTTTTCACAGTTTCATTAAGATCGTATAGTCGAACGGTTAGTTTTTACTGTTCTATTTTATTTTCTTTTATCAGTACTGTGATTGTTTTATTTTCTTTTGTGTTCGAAATGTCTTTCTAATTTTATCTTGATTTTTTGAAACTCAAAAAATACTTCCATTTGTGGATGCTCTACCATCTTCTTCACAAGATAAATTGGGGTTTGGACTTCTTCGCTGCTCTAACTTTGTTGCATCAAGGTAATCACTTCGTTTCAATTTACTTCACTGATCTGTACTATTTCATCTCCGCTCTTCATCTGGTAGGAATTTTCATTTTAGAGAAAAAATCTGTTTGACTTTCCCCTATTTTGAATTTGCATAGTTGCCAAAACTCTGAATAAATGGGTTTTTGCTGCTTCGTTGGAACTGTGCTTGCTTTGAATTTTAGTATTTTTACGGAAATTTATTGTGAATATTGGTGTGGATTTAAGGATTTTTACAGAAATTTTATTGTGAAAATTGGTATGTAGAAATTATTTTTATAATTCTTTGTGTCAGGAGGGGAGGTTAGTTACGTACTTAGGACTCTATGTGTTGAAGATTTTCTGGTATTTGCATTAAAACTGTGTGTTTCAATCTCTAATTTTTGGTACAATTTTTTCAACTTTATTGGTAATAAACTGGTAGGGCAAACCTCTAAATCTAAGTTTTAAATAATGAAGCTTTAGAATGCACTCATTTCCAAGACAGGGAAAATTGGATTACTGTGATGGACACTTTTTGTTGGTTATTGCACATTGACACATGTTAACATAATAGTAAATCTGATAGGGCCAGGGAAAGAGATGGTTTTCGCTAATCATGCTATAAAAGAATTATATTTTGTTGTTGGTGGTGTTCCACATATGCCTTAACTGTCTTCAGATCTTCTTATTGAAATACCTTCTCCAAATGGTTCACATCATTATGGATTATGTTTTACCTGTCTTCCCTTGGATGGACTGCTTTGTCAGTAAAGCAACAAGTATTTAGCTATATAAATGATGTGCTTCAAATGAAAGGGCAAATTAACCAAAGAATGAGACTTCTAAGAGGAAGAACAACTTGGAAGACGCTGCCAATTCGCAAAATATTTAGCATTATGCTAGGAAGGGATTAAGCTAATCCACTTGAACTTATGTAGGAATCTTGAAATGAATTAATTCTAGAAAGGGATAGATTTAAGAAATACTTGTTGCCTTTTGTCCAAATTTTTGGAAGCTTTCGGGTGTAACACATTACTTTGCTTATAACAAGACAAATAGAAGGCCTATCTTGCTTGACTACGATGGTACTAAGATGCCTGAGGATAAGGTGAACAAATCCCTTGGTAAAGAAGTCATCTCAGTTTTAAATGGTTATTATACACAATATAACGTTCTACCATTAGTTCCAAATTTGATGTCATTTTGTTTAATTTCGATTCCAGAAAAAATTTCAAAAGCATGCTATGTTTTTGTAGTGTTGAAAAATGTAAAACAAATACAACTGGGTTTACAATACTTAAAGAGGAATGTATACTATTGAAAGAACACGAAAGTAAGCAAAAAAGAAATTGGAATTGGTACAGTACCATGGGTCCTATAGCTTCTACAATAGATAGTTTTCATATAATTTGGTGGATGTGAGTAGGGATTTTACAATGAGTCGCAGGGGTAAGGATTCTTTGAGCCACTGGTTATCTCCATGTCCAAGACTCGGCTATCAACTGAACATGGTTATTTTAAAAGGTTTGATATTGTTGCTACTTTGGTTTCATTAACACAAATTAGATTATTATCTTCTTTTGTCTTTTTCAACTAACTGTTTGTATCTCTTTAATTTAATCCTTTATATATGTGGAATATGATTTACAATGGGAATCACGCCCAACAGCTGCAGACATGGACTGAAAAAAGCAACATTACCTATTATGGAGCATTATACAGAAGCAAGAGATGGTTAGTCAATAGATCAAAAGGAAAGTGCTCTGGCATAACATCATCAAGAACCCGATTCTGACTTTGGTATATGGCAAGCAAAAGAGCTTCTTCATCATTTGGAGAGTGTACTGGATAATGAGCTTGTCAACACATGGTTGAGGTGAAACCACATGTATGAGAAAAAGGATGATGGTTGAATAATATTTCAAACTCGATGAACTAAAGTGGATACTAACCTTATTCATTTATTGCAGGATTAAGCTGAGGCATAGTTGTTCGGAGTCTAATGGCGTCAATGAAGAGTAGAAGGTAGCCACCACTTTTTTTTCTATGCATAAGCGATGGCATATTCGACAAAGACATGTTTGAGAGAATTGCAAGTCATCTACCAAACCTCTTTTTGCTTGATAAAGTACAAGTGTTTGCATCCAATGTTGATCAGAAACCAAGTATGGCCTAATACTATCTTAATGATATAGTTGAAGTTGCAAAAATGCTTCAACACCTCAAAAGCAACTGCATCATCATCAGCTACCGCCTAAAAAGCCAAGTCATACAACCTCCCTTAAATTTGTCACTGTATAGTTAGTCATACTGCTTATCTACCAAAACTTATCAAAAATGACAACTCTTTCCAGAAAACCCATTAGAAAGTAATTTAATGGTAGCTAATATGAGTTTAGGCTACAAACAAGTATTATTTTATGACCTTAAGGAATTCCATTATATGTTTACTTGGTTCATACTACTCTATGGTATACATTGTTAGAATACTTGATATAGATTTTGGACCTCAAGGTGCAAGTGCATTTACATTATATAGATAATGGAGTCATTTAATCCCTGATTGCTTCCCAGTTCTTCATGTGCTTCTCTTCTCGATGAAGTTCATTTGCTTGTTGATGTTGATGTGATTAAAAACTTTAGTGCTTGCTGAAAATTATCTTTGTCAAGTCGATTCTTGCTTAACCCCTTATCTCCAAAATTTTTTATGTAAAATACAATTCATGGCACGAGCACGACAGAAATCTAAGTGTTTCTGCTGATAAAATATAAGTATGACGTACTTATCAGGAACTGCAATTTTGTTCTACTATTTGACATGTACTTTTTTCAAATTACTAGAGTTTCTTAGCAGTGCTAAGGATAGTAAAGTAGTAAACAAACTCCTTATCATGAAAATGTTCTCAAATAAATTCTAACTTGTTATAGTGCTATCTAAAATTTTGTTAGAAAACTAAGAGGTATGAATGTCAAAAACATGTAGATTTTTCCTTTTGCATATGATGTTAAAGACATAAAAATAGTGAAGTTCACCAAATTTTTTCATAGTGTTTATGTTACCTTGACAGGTAAAATGGGATGAGTACTTTGTGCAGCTTTTTACTTCATTTTTTATGCATGTTAGAGCTTCTTCAAAGGCTTTTGATTATGATTTGGTTATTATTCAAGCTGGTGTTGGTGGCTATGGTGCTGCTCTTTGCGCCATCAAGAAAGTAAACCACCTTGTTGTAATTCTGTGGTGGATTGAGTTATATAGGTGTTAGTCTTCGCTTTCGCTCTTAGTTGCAGAAGAAGACTTGTGAGAGCACCTTTGTTTTATTTTGTTAAGATGTATAATTCATGTTCAGCTGAATATTATCCCAGTATAATGCAAATAGTTGGGCCCATGCTTGCACTGGCCAATCCCATCTAGTCATTTGAAAAACGAGCAACTTACTTTTGAAGCTTTGGATCTAATCTGACCCTATTGTTAAAAAAATAAAATAAAAAAAAATAAATAAATAAATAAATAAAAAAAAACTCAATTGTATCATTTCCACTAACAAAGGCAGGTATTTTTACCATTTCACCTATGATTTATTCCGATCAAGGAAAGCTAACTTTGCCAATATAAAAATGTTAAATGACATACTTTTCCCCCTTGCAATTTGTTATAAACCATGAATCATGATTTCTATTTATTAATGTCAATTTTGGTTCCGTATGTCGTCAGTTTTGATTTTCAAGGTATTTCTAATTTATTATAGTATTTTTCGTTTAAATAATGACAGAATAGCCTAATAGACATTTCTACTTGCACCGTTTTCACATCCCAGTCCTTATACTTTATGAGTTTTCATCTAGACATCTCCACTTGATCAAAACCAATTTTTTAAACCCCTCTGACGGTTGACCGAGCTTGAGATGGACAACAACAACAACAACAACAATTCAGTGGAATCCCATAAGTGGGTCTGGGGAGGATAGTGTGTACGCAGATCTTACCCCTACCTATGAAGGTAGAAAAATTATTTTCGAAAGACCCCCGACTCAAGAACGTAAAAAAAATATATAAAAAAATAGAGCAATAGAGAAATAATAGCAACAACAATGTAATAAGACAGTATAAGCAAATAATACAACGGATAATGACAGAGATCCAAGGAAATGAAACAACAAGAATAATGTCAATCTCACTGCTAATACTGACATATCGTATATAAACAAGGGATTAGGAATAGAAAGGTACCCGACTAGTACAACTACTACTCGTAAGACAAGGCAAACTATAGACTGTCTATCAACCCACCACCCTAATTTTCGACCTCCGCACCTTTCTATCGAGGTCATGTCCTCGGTAAGCTGGAGTAGAGCCATGTCCTGCCTAATCACCTCACCCCAGTTCTTCTTAGGCCTCCCTCTACCCCTCATCTGACTCGCCACTAGCAACCTCTCGCATCTCCTAACTGAGGCATCAACGTCTCTCCTCTTCACATGACCAAACCATCTCAGCCTCGATTCCCTCAACTTCTCTTCCACAGGGGCCAAACCCACTTTGTCCCTAATATATTCATTCCTAATCTTATCTTTTCTGGTATGCCCATACATCCATCGCAACATCCTCATTTCTTCTACTTTCATCTTCTGGGCATGGGATTTCTTGACTGGCCAACACTCGACTCCATACAATATGGTCGGTCTAACTACTTCTTTATAGAACTTGCCCTTAAGTCTAGGTGGCACATTCCTGTCAAACAAAATACCAGAAGCAAGCCTCCATTTCAACCACCCGCTCCTATACGGTGTGTGACATCCTCGTCGATCTCCCCGTTACTCTGTATAATCGACCCAATATATTTAAAACTATCTCTCTTGGGGATGACTTGGGTATCAAGCTTCATTTCCACTTCTGATTCATGCGTCCCAATACTAAACTTACACTCCACATATTCTGTTTTTGTCCAGCTCAACTTGAAACCTTTAGATTCCAGGGTTTGTCGCCACACCTCCAGCTTAACATTAACCCCGCCGCACGTATCGTCAATAAGAGCTTGAGATGGACAAATTGCGTGTAATTCACGCATGCAAAGAAAGTGATACTACTAATTTTGAAGGATTAAATCAGGAAAAAAAAATGAAAAGCAATAAAGTTAAGATAAAGTTAACCAATTTCCTCCCCCCCCCCCCCCC